CCACAGAGGATCTGGACATCGACACTGTACTGACCCACCAACTAAGGAGGAGATAATTCTTAAGAATGGAAAGTCGCCAGGACGTGACAATCTTGATGCAAAGCTTATAAGATCCTGGAATAGCAGCCACCATCCTCTAACCAGCTGTTCACAGATGTGTGGGATGGAGAGAAAGCGCCTGATGTGATTGGTGTAAAGGGGTGATTCAATTTTTCAAGTTCCTAAAGAAAGGAGCCCTGAACGCGATTGTAACAACTGATGGGGAATCACTCTATTGTCTGACCAAGTAAGATCCTGGTTAAAATAATTATCAAAAGAATGTCAGTGTTGATGCTGTATTGAGGAGAGAACATGCAGGGTTTAGGAAACATAGAGGATGTACTGACTAGATCTTTGCACCCCGCAACATCCTAGAGCAGTGCACAGAGTGGCAGAGACAACTGTATGTAAACTTCATGGACTTTGAGAAGGCATTTAACAGTATACACCGAACTAGGCTTTGGAGCATCTTACGCTATTATGATATTCCATTTAAAATAGCCCACCTGTTAAAGAGCTTTTATAACAACTTCAAATGCTCAATAGGACACAATATCACATTCTTCGATGTGGAGTCAGACAAGGATGCTTAATACTGAACTTGGTCATCGAGAATGGTTGGGGGTGTTACATGTAGGATCGAACGTTTTCAGTTCCAATTTTTTCCAACACACTACCACTAACATTTTTGGGATATAAAATGCAACGTGCTTGTTGAAAGTGGGGAAGGGGGATAAACCTACACCCAAATGTTCAATGTATTATCAGTCTATGTTATGTTTATCTCTGCAAAAAAAGTGGGGGGGGGGGGACTAAGCCCTCCGGTTCCGTCGCCTATGCCTACTCCCCTCATAAAGCTTTGGCCTATTGCATGTATTGCGCTGGCAAAAGAACTGACTGCGCAGTGGCGGATCCAGAAGTTCATGTGGGGGGGTTTTGAGGCTCAAAGGACCGAAGGGGGAGGGCATGGGAGGGGGTGTCCCCCTCCCATAGGCGGGAAAATTTTGTTTTAAATGTTCTAATTGGTGTATTTTCCAGCACTTTGGGGGTACTTTTTGTAGCTTTTTTAAAGATGGATCATCAAAAATTTTTAATAAATGTTTTAAATTTGATTAAACTTTAACACAAGACTTTAGACTTTACTTTCAAAAATTGTTAAATCTGACAATTTTAGGAATACAAGAAGTTGACTTCAAGTTGTCTTTACTTTAAATGCATCTACAATATTAATTAAGTCGTATGTCAAGCTGACTTCCAAGGTACAACTAATGTGCAAATTTTTAAACACTAAAAAACTTAAAAATTGAATTCTTTTCAGAATCCCTAACTTGTACGTGCTTTTCAACTTACTAGAGTATATACTGTCAATATGATTTGGAATATAAACACACGTATACAATAAATGAAATTTCAAACTGAAGAAAAAAATTACAAAAAACTGGAGAATCTGTCAAAACTAGAGGGGTTTGCTAAGCCAACCTGCTTTTGTTAAAAAAAATATATTAATTTAATTTTTTAAACGGTAAAAAAAAACCCTCTGAATAATAGTGTATTCATAGTTTAAAAACATGCATTTTATCAGCAAAAGAATATTACTGAGTAGCACAGTAACTATGCAGTTCTCTGTTGTTGGTACCTAACTACATTGTACTGTGATCTTTTGACTCCACTAGGTGCATGGACTACCCGATCTCTGAGACACTCTCTCTGTTGATTACCTGTGTATTGTGTGCGTTCATGCGGAAAGTGATTTCCTGTTACGCAGTTGCTGTATATTTCACAGTTGTACAAACAAAGGGTTCATGTTTATTAGAGTCTTACCAATGCAAAAAAATGATAAAATAACACTTGTTCAAAAAAAAAAAAAAATCAGTGAGTGGGGGGGTTTTCCCGAACCCCCCCAAACCCCCCTGGATCCGCCATTGCTGCGTAATTATCAATGTAAATTCTAAACCATGCAAGTAACCAGAAGTCTCTGTCGAGACGACTGAAGCTCTACTGAGTTGTACCTATAGCAAAGGAACTTCAAGAGAAAAGTACTTGAGAAGTTGGAAATTGAAACCTTATAACAGCAATAGATAGAATCAGGATCCTTGATTTACACTCTTTATATTCTTAGTCTAGTCTACTTGCATGTCACATTAATAATCAGACTAAAACTGTATTTGGAGTAGAATATTGAGAGTATTTAACGGACATTTCTATTTTTAGTAACCAATGCAATAATATTCATCGAAGAAGATTACACTAAGATACATAATTCTGTGTATCAGTTTTGATTTCAATAAACGATGTTGCCGTGGTTACTAAAAATAAAAAAATCTGTGAAATTGTTTTAAAATGCTACTCCTACAGTTTTTGGTCTGATTTCCTTATAACTTGGCACACAAGTAAACTAAACTAAGATGCATAATTCTATTTATCGTTTTTTTTTAATTTCGAGGAACGGTGTTGGTATGGTTACTAAAAATAGAAATTTCCGTAAAAAACATTCAAAATGCTACGCCTCCTACAATTTTGGTCTGATTTCAGTATAACTTGGCATACAAGTAGACTACACTAAAATAAATAATTCTATATATCCGTTTTTCATTTTGATGAACGGTGTTGCCGTTGTTACTAAAAATAGAAATTTAAGTGAAATTGTTTCAAAATGATACTCCTCCTACAGTTTTTGGTCTGATTTCCTTATAGCTTGGCACACAACATGCACAAGTAAACTACACTAAGATGCATAATTCTATTTATTGTTTTTTTTTAATGAACGGTGTTGCTTTGGTAATTCAAAATAGAAATTTCCATGAAAAAAATTCAAAATGCTACTCCTCCTATAGTTTTAAATCTGATTTCAATATAACTTGGCACACAAATAGACTACATAAGATACATGTACACAATTCTGTATATCAGTTTTTGACTTCGATGAACGGTGTTGTCATGGTTACTAGAAAATAAGAAATTTCTGTGAAATACTTAAATAATGCAATTCCAAATACAGTTTTAGTCTGATTGTAGAACATGTATAATGTGGCATGCAAGTATTGTACACCGAGATGCATGATCATTATTGTAAACCAACTTCTATTCATGGCGAATTCATTTCGCAATTGACCGGGGGTAAACTAATTTGCAACAATTAATATTAGCGATAAAGCCTATTAGGGTTTCTTTTTTAATAGACACATAGTTTTTAAGAACCTGTTCGCGGACAGAAATATTTGCAATAATGAGGCACTCACGAACTTCGCAAAAATTACTCGCACGCAAATAAAAGTTGGTTTACAGTATTCTGTTTATTGCTGTTGCGAAGTTTCAAGTCCCAACTGCCAATTTTCATTGTTTAAACTACAAACCAGTAGAGCTACAGTCTCGACACAGACTTCTGGCTTAGAAAAAAGATGAGACTGCAAAAGCTATAGGTAATTTAACACATATATTTCAATTTGCAGATAGATGAATAAACATGATAATCAAATAAATATAAAAGTTGATCTGACATGATCCACAGAAGAATGAACATTTAATTATAACGACTCAATTGCAAATGTCAATTCAAAATGTAATGCAAATCATGTCTTGTAGATGATCTATCATATACCGTATAAGTGGAAATTTTAGCGAGACCCAAATTTAGTGATTTGTCCTTAAAAACTGGTAATCTATTTTTAGTGAGATGGTATTTTAGCGTTTTTAAAATGCATACTTAAGAAGCTATTACAAATAAAGCGCAATTAATTTTAGCGACATTCAATTTTAGCGATCTCGGCATCCTTGCTAAAAATGCCAAAATTAAATTCTCGCTAAAATTTCTACTTATACGGTATATAACTTTTACTCTAAATCATGTTACATGCTGTACATTAATTCAATTTTCCAAAAATCCATTATGTTTGAACATCAATTACTTTAAAATTAGCTGTTTGATCCGCTCGCATACTCCCAGATAGCAAGACATAGTTGGGCCAACGTTGGCCCAATTTTTTTTCCAACGTTGGCCCACTGTTGGAAGTCCTACGTTGGCCCACGGTAATTTTGCTCATCGGCCCAACGTTGGTCCAACATGTTGGCATATTGTTGGCCCAACGTAGGTATAATTGTAAGCCAACAAATAGCCAACATTGGTAAATGGTTGGTTAGGTTGGCCCAATGTTGGCCCTCAGTTGGTCCAACATGTTGGCATATTGTTGGGCCAACGTAGATATAATTGTATGCCAACAAATAGCCAACATTGGTAAATTGTTCGTTAGGTTGGCCCAATGTAGGCCCTCAGTTGGAATGTTGGCATATTGTTGGGCCAACGTAGGAATAATTTTAAGCCAACAAATAGCCAACATTAGTAAATAGTTAGTCAGGTTGGCCCTCAGTTGGAAATGTTGGCATATTGTTGGGCCAACGTAGAGTACATATCCAAGCCAATTAACAGCCAACATATAGATACATGTAATGCTCATAAGAAGGATATGGAGATAACGATCAGTATTCAATCTCAAAGTCCATAAAATGATACAAAACAAGAGCAGAGCAAACACGGACCCCTGAAACATCAGAGGTGGGATCAGGTGCCATGGAGGAGTGAGAATCCCCTGCTGACCGGTCACACCCGCCGTGTGCTCCATGTCATGATCAGGAAATAGGATCAGGCAACTGTTTCTTTAGCATGTTTAGGTTGGCTCTACCCTTTGTTGCTTATTCTCAAACGATTGAGAGATGTTGCTCTAAGCTCTTTGTTGGCCAGTTGTTGGATATAATTTAAATCTGTTAAAACAAATTGAATAAAAAAACATATATCTGTTAATTATCCTTATAATGACATATATCATGATTATTGAAAGTGTACTCTTTATATACACATTTATTAGCATTCACAATGCTTACGAGTAGAAAAAAAACATTACAAATGATTCTCTGTAAAAAGATTTTATATCAATTAAATTGTCAAAAAGTACAAAAATAATATTAAAAAGATGATGAAGATATTATATCAATTAAATTGTCAAAAAGTACAAAAGTAGTATTAAAAAGATGATGAAGAAAGTTTTTGGAAATAATTAATCAAAGTCTTTAATCCTGGCTAGCTTCCTCACTGTCCCTTTCCTTCTCTTTCTTTTTCTCCTCCCTTTTTCTTCTCCCCCCATCACGATCCTTGGCGTACCTTAGCCAGTCCTTCACAAGTCTTTCGATTTCATTGTCAGTCGCTGCACTGCAAAATTTATTTTTTCTCACAGCCTCTGATTTGAAAATAAAAAGAATGAATTTGGTTTGAAAACAAAATACTGGTACAGACATCATCATGTAGATATTTATATGAAGACAATAAAAAATATTAACAAGTGCATTTTAATTTATAAGCTTTGGTATCTTTATCATAAACAAGAGGCCCAAGGGTCACAGCGCTCACCTGAGCACATTGGCTAAGACAAAGACTTATCAAATCAGACCTGAAAGTTTACTGAGGTAAAGGGGGGAGAGGGCTTGAATTTTAACCCCCTCCCCCCTCTCTGGTCATATTTTGAACAAACTAGAAATCTACACTACCTGAGGATGATTCCATATAAATATCACTAATTATAGCTTTGAAGTACTTGAAAGAAGATTTTAAAAGATTTCGCTATATATTCCTATGTAAAACTTTGGTCGGCCATTTTGGCCCAACCCTAGCCCTGAGGGTCATGATTTTAAAAAACTTGAATCTACACTACCTGAGGATGATTCCACATGAGTTCCATCTTTCCTGGCCCAGTGGTTCTTGTGAAGATTTTTAAAACATACCATCAAATTTTCACTATTTCTAAATTATCTCCCCTTAAATAAGGGCATGGCCCTTCAATTGAACAAACTTGAATCCCCTTCACCTAAGGATACTTTGTGCCAAGTTTGGTTGAAACTGGCCCAGTGGTTCTTGAGAAGAAGTCGAAAATGTGAAAAGTTTACAACAACGACGGCGACAGACGACAGACAAATTTTGATCAGAAAAGCTCACTTGAGCATTCGGCTCAGATGAGATAACAATATTGTTTATGCAATAAAAATAACTAGATTGAGACAACTTGACAGAAAGATTTTCAATACTCTGTTATACTTACTTATAATTATGTCTTTTAACTTGAGACTTGAGAGCCCTCTTTTACTTCCTTTACCGCTCCAGTTCAATTGGGTTGCCAGTGACGTTGCCATCAAAAATGAAAGTACTCTCCGCACACAGGTTTGCACATTGTCACCACCGATACATATTAGTTTTCCAAGCTTAAAATCACAATATGTAACTGTTTACTGAAACAACTTAAAGATACGTGTACGTAAAAATGATAAATTTGTTTTTGTAGAACATTATTTATTATAAAATATTTACAATAAGACAAAGTATTTATTCGAGTTTATACCATTATTTTGGTGGTTTCTTGGCTCTCCAGTTGCTCCTCTAAAGAGTCCAGTTCCTCTTGGGTTTTCAAGGGAAATTCAATTCCAATGTCTACCTCATTCTCCATGGTGGTAGTAGTCGTTCCAGTAACCTCAACTTTTGCCAATATATTCTGAAGTAATTTGGTATTAAATCTGACCTGTCCCTTTACATCCTCTAAAATAGTGAGGATTTTGATGTTCGTTGCTGAAAAGTAATCAATTATCTTTAACCACAGTAAAATCTGTTTGTATACAAAATCTCAAAAATATTTAATTTATAGAATTTGAAAAATACATCTGTAACAAAACTTTAAAATATCGGTTCAAAATATACACGGTATACTTATAAATAATTCTCTTTTACCTGTCATTTGTTGATTTGGTGTTGAATCCAGTGCAGATTTAGATGAAGTTGGTGATGATGTCAAACTTGATGTTGCTTTAGTGGATGGGGTCGAGGGTGCTTTCCGTGCTGGTGATGCAAGTGAAGGGAGGGCAGGGAGTGGTGGTGGGTCCGGAAATTGTTTCTTTGATTTTCGAGGTGATCTTCGAAGGCTACCTGAAGTTTTGTCCTGGCTTATATTACATTCATTCTCTTCCTCGCTTTCAGAGGAAAGAGGATCATATCTTGGATTTGGTCTGAATAAAAATTAATGTATTAAACAAAACAAATAGGAATAACTTACTGAAGAAAAGTATAAGAAAATGTTTTAATAATCACAGCCAGTACCTTTTCTTTCTTTTCGGTACTGTGTCTGTTTCTTCATCTGCCTGGTCACTCTCTAAGTTTGAAGTTACTTCTGCTCTTGAAAGCCTTTTCCTAGCCTTTTCATAATCGTCTGGGTGTGTAAAAATAACAATATTATAACAGAATAAATTTGGATAATAACATAAATATATGATGTTTTCTGTTCTTCACTCATTATTATGTTCATTCTTTTTTCAAAATTTGCACTTTATATATGACTGTAAGAAAAAAATAGATAAAATTATTGTATGAACTTTGTAAGAAATTTCAAAGTATTTTGCAAGGAATATATATATTTACCAGATTCATACAACACTCGGATGGAAAGACACATGAAAGAAGGTGTAGGCTCCATGGACTGTTTAACAGCATGGTTTATTTTGTCCACATTTGTCCACATCGGCCATTTGCACTTTTTCTTGTCATCAGTGAGCCAGGTCTTAGGAACGACCGCAACAGAGCCCTCATCAGTAAACTCAACCACTGCGTACATAGACCTATCACAGATCAAACATTTATCTTACAACGCTATATACATAATTATATATATTTAACTACTTGACCTTATTTTCACACATATCTATAACTACAGTACATATAAAAACTACTTTCTTATGTAAGTTTTACCAGATAGTACTTGTGAATGGGATAGCCAAATATTTCCTTTTATGAGGAAGTAGAGTGCATTTTGCTTGGATGTCAGACAATTTACAAACACTTTCAGTAGTGCCTAAATCATGAACAGTTTGTATTCCAAGAAAACCAGAAGGTACCGGAATATCGAAGAAATCCTCCGAATATTTAAATGGTTGGTATACAACATAAGTGTCGGCATCATCTAAAATGATGTTTTTAACCACACCTATTTGTCCCCCTACACGCACGCAACTATCTTTCTGATTCAATTTAATACTGAATTTGGGAGTTGCTACTGATCCATATTGAATTCCATTTGAAAGACAGGGTGGCAAAGGTCCAATTTTGTGTTGTTTCCTTAAAACTGGATAATGTTTTTCAGGGGTTTTAGTACCTTGTGTATTCTTTTCCTCTGAAAGTCTACGGATAATCTGCTGTAAAGGGAAGGATGGTTTGCGCACCATACGTTTTAGTCTTCCCAAAAAATTTTCAAATGGAAAGGATGATACATTATCAAGATTCCCATATTTGGAAGCATCAGCTGACAAATGAACCAATCCATGAACATTATACACTAACATGTCTTTCCCATAAATTTGACCGAAATGTGTAACAAATGCAACAAGAAGATCATGAGCAAATGAACAATACATTTCACACAAACGATCATTCAACAAAATGTGAATTGCAACAGAGAGTAGCATGAAATTTTTGTACAGATTGTTGTGTACAACTTGCAAAAGGACAAGAGGACCTGTATACAACAGAAATTGTCTGAACTCTGTGGCTTTCCATCTATCAATGACATCTAGGGACCGTGGTTTTCGGGAAAATTCACATGGAATGTAATTTTTCAAAGACAATAATGATTCAGATATTTTGTTTACATCTTGTGAACCTAGTCTACACTTTAATGGTCCCCTTAGCCATAACAAAAGCAATCGTTTGACAACACCTAAACACACTAGATGCATGTAATCTATAGGGAATTGGGTCACCATGCCTACATTTATTTCCGCTAAAGGTGATATGCCTTTGTGGTGCTCTTCATCAGATAACGAGTCAAATGAGGGATCTGTTCGTATGGGTGCATTGGTTTCAGGAAAGGTCATTTTGCCTAAATGAACACCGCTCTGGGTACATTTGTCACAACCTGAGTAGCCAGAGTGGCCTTTGACACATTTCACAAATGCCCTTGCTGGAGTATCACAGATAAACGAGTCTATTGCTACACTGAAATGCTTGCCATGGATATCTAAGCCATTTTCTTGTATTTCCTTGTACTCTTCAATAAAGTTTTGAAGATAATTGTTTAGATTGTTTGGTTTGCTTTGTCCAGAGAATAAACCAATAACAAAAGGGGAATCATCAGTAATGTTTCTTATCCTACCAAGAATAGGCCAAAACTGATCATTGGTGCTTTTGAACAAAGGCAAACCGTCAATGTTTATTTGCAAAGCAAAACTATATTCATTTTCAAGGAAACGAAGGCATGGTTCAACCTTTTGAGATATGCTACTAACAATACCAAAATGATAGTATTGCCCTCCGCCAATTTCTGACAAATTATAAGTTGTTTGCGTCTGTAATAGAGTTCTTGGGTCTTTTGGCAATTCTGGGAAGTGTGGTTTTAAGATATCCAACAAAGATAACAAAGCCATATTTGGTATCTGAAATGTTGTAGACCATTCCCTAAGTTTTTGTGACATTGTCATCTTGTCCTCATTATCAGACCCACTATCTGAACTACTAAAAATATTGTTCGGGTGAATCATGTTGTCATCACTTGCTATATGTGCAGTATCTGAATCATGATCATCTTCAC